CGCCAGTTTGCTGTTTCGCTGTTGCGTGCATGATAAGTGTGAAGAAGTCGAGTCTGATTGCACTTTTCATGAACCCAGTACTCTCCCTCTCTCTCTCTCTCTCTCTCTCTCTCTCTCTCTCTCTCTCTCTCTCTCTCTCTCTCTCTCTCTCTCTCTCTCTCTCTCTCTCTCTTTTCCCTCACTCACGCACACCCACAAAGAAGAAGAAAAAAGTGAAAAGAAAAGAAGGCGTGTGACAGTGCCACGTGGTGGCTGTGATGGACGAGTTTCTCAGACTTACTGTCATCGTAGGACTGCAGGGTTGCTGTGCGTAAGGTTGACCCATTGGCCGCCGACCGAAAAAGAGAATAGAGCCAACCCATTAGCCGCCGACCGAAAAAGAGAATAGAGCCAACCCATCGGCCGCCGACCGAAAAAGAGAATAGAGCCAACAGGGGTATTGTTACCTCAGGCCGGCGTGGCGAGTCCTTGTTCGTCAGCCAAATGCATATGCGGCAGACTGTCGGGGCTCATTCTCCTGATCGATCAGTGAAAGATCGCCAACAGGGGTATTGTTACTGCTGGGCGACGTGGTGAGTCCTTATTTGTCAGTCAAGTGCAGACGCAGCAGACTGTCGGGGCTCATCCTCCCTCCTGATCATTCAGTGAAAGTCCGACAAAACAGTTTGGCACTATCGTGCTTTTCCACACAGAAGTGCATGTGTGTGCATGCGCATTAGCGCCTGCATGCACGTTAGCGCCTGCATGCACATTAGCACCTGCCTGCACATGTCGACCCACATGCACACATGCACCTGCGCATACACATGTGCTCCTCTGTTCAGAACTGCATCTGTGCAAACTATCGTCTTCACCCGAATAGAACGCCCTGTCATTATAGCTGTATTTGGGGCAACTTTCAGGCCAGATGCAGCGATAATTACCCGGCGTTCTATTCGGGTGAAGACAGTAGTAGTAGTAGTAGTAGTAGTAGTAGTAGTAGTAGAAGAAGAAGAAGAAGAAGAAGAAGAAGAAGAAGAAGAAGAAGAAGAAGAAGAAGAGGAGGAGGAGGAGGAGGAGGAGGAGGAGGAGGGGGAGGATGTGGGGAGGATGAAGGGATTGTTGAATCAAAAGAACCGAAATACCGAACCCCCCACTTTTTCTGTCTGTTCGATTTTCCTGTGTGTTCAGTCCTTCCTTCCCTGCCGGGTTAAGCGGGCACCGGATCGCCCACGCACTGCCACTATATACACAGAACCCCCCACTTTTCAGTGTATATAGTGGCAGTGCGTGGGCGTGGGCGATCTGGAGAACAGGCAGGGAATTACTGGTTCTCTCGGAGAGAAAAGCGGGCGCCGGATCGCTCAGGTCATACATTGGCCATTGGCCGACTGACTGTGAAGTGAACTCATGGCTTCACTGCGTCTGCAAAGGATGCTCCCACTGCAATAGCTGTTCCTCCTCCTCTAGTCTCTCAAGGACTGGCAACTTGGCAGCCATAGCCAGCTGATCCTCGTTACCCCCCTGGCCTCCTGTCTGTGCACAACAGGGACCCCCACTTTTCAGCCCCAGGTTGAAGCGGGGGGCCTGCTGCGGTAACGAGGCCAGGGGGTTCCTCAAGGACTGGCAACTCGGCTGCTCTCCTGCTGCGGTGCTACGTCTTCTCTACTCTGCTAGAGCCACAATTAGCATCCTGCTGATTTCTAACTGTTCGAGAGGTTTAGGGAGGGGTTTTCTACTGTGGCAATTCATCCGAGAATTGGCTGGGAGTTGAAGCGGGGGGGAAGAGAGAGAGAGAGAGAGAGAGAGAGAGAGAGAGAGAGAGAGAGAGAGAGAG